CAACCCCATACGTTGTGTTATCAATATTTAAGCGGGTTTTGTGCGTCTCGATGAATATTTATTAGGGAATTGCAATTAGTTTCGGAAAGAAAAGAAAATGCGGTTTTCACGTTGCCAGATGATAAATTGGCTTATAGCCGCGTTTACTCAAATTATGAATTTATAATCTTCTAGCCGAATTTTAAACACTAATCTCTTACTAGTTATGCTTTCCATGCCAAAACGCGGGGGTCGAAAATGGGATTAGTTACCAACGTTAATAAGGGTTAACCGTGCAAGTATAATCCCCAATGCTGCAAACGTGAGAATGTTGAATATTTTTATATAAAGTTGGCGGTCTTCGTTTGTGTCTGTACCTAACCAAGGCAGGGGAGCTCGGTTTCCATTTAGAAAACCTGAAAGTACAGGTATTACCTCCATAAAACTCGTGGATCTTGAGCCACAAATGTGGGGAAAAAGGAATATTACTATCAATTTATTTAAATGTAAGTAATTTACGTAAAGAATAAGTAAGCTTTATTGCTTTAATGCCGGCTTTCCAGAAAATTTAATTCACGAAGGACTTAACCGTGAGCACCTCATTTTATATGTTTAAGTGAGAATGAAACAACCTTAATTTTATTTTAAAACACGCGCAGCTTTCCGTAGTTTACAGCACGAGTCAGGTGTAATTACGGTGGCGGCGTGCCACCGTCGAGAAAACTTGTCAATTTATCTCTAACACATCTCTCATTATTTCAATGATCCGGGGCTCGATGAAAATGACAGAGTTCTCGGAACTTTCAAAGTAAAACTACTCAAGTAATCCCATGTCAAATAATGTCGCCAGCGTCTTACATCCAAAAAAGCTACTCAAAAACGGGAAAAAACGGAAGTCATTAATTTCGCCATAGCATTAACTTACAAGGAAGGATCGGAAGCTTTGCCTTGTTGTAATTTTCCGGCCGACACGTAACTTTAAACCTCGAATTTTCAAATTAAAACATTTTTCAACCGACGACGATAATTTACAAATTGAAAACGGTTCATTAATTTACCTCGTCGAATTGAAAGTTCTCAGGAGGATTATAATATAATTTATAGACGATCGATCCGCGTTCGGTTCATCCCTATGATAATTCTTTATTGAAATTCCGGTATCATATTGTAAAATTCTCCGGCAACTTAACTACTTATAAAGGCAATTTACATTAATCTTCAATACGAACCAGTTAAAAATGATTATCAATTTTAATGTCGATATTCATAGAACATCTACTTTAATTTAAATTACCTTTAAAGACACGCTATGAGCGAAAGCCCTTATTGCAAAGGTGTTTCCTTACACCTTTTTCCCAGATAATAAATAAATTCATTTGTAGAGAGATGGGTGCGATTTCAAATTATATTCACAAAGAAGGCCTTGATAATACAAACGTTGGTAATTTTACTGTAAAGTTCACGAAATTATTAATTAGAAGTGTGACGTAAAATGTGAAAATTAATTTTAATTTAATCGAAAAGTAGCCTGAAAATTAAACGAAAGTAATTCCCAATAACGAGAAAAATCTCATCAAAGAGATTCCTGCTATTATGAGCTTGTTAGCATCTTTATGGGAGGTGTTGCGGTGTATGGGGTAGGTAAACCAGAACAATTTAGTTACGCACTAACTAAATGAAACATAATGCATACACATCACGCTAATTTATATTATACAGGGTGACACATTTAAAACTTTCAATGGGCGATATCGTTTTTTATATTAGAGGTATCACAAAATGGCCAAAACCGTTTCGGTAGAATCGAGGGGGAAGCAAAATGGTCGTATAAAGAAGGAACCAACTTCAACCTCGTACCCCCCGCCACCCCCATGCCTAAATTTTGAATTGTGACGTATCACTTGTGATACATCATTGGAAAGCTCTTAAAAAATGCTTTTCAGAAATACCATACACTGGTACATTTAAACTGCCCATTCACAATTTATTACACTAAAATTTGAACTCCGCAAATAAACAACTTTTATTTAATAAAATGTTCAAAATGTTCACCGTTTTGTTCTAAACAATACCACAAACGGTTTTCAAATTCATTTCTAACATTTTTAAACACTTCCCTGGAAAGTGAACGGCACTCCCTGACTATCCGGTAGCGAAGATCATTTATGGAAGCTGGTTCAGTTTTGTACACAACCGATTTTAAATGACCCCAAAGAAAGAAATCCAATGGTGTCAGATCTGGAGATCGTGCTGGCCATTCTATAGGACCTCTTCGTCCTATCCACTGTCCCGGAAATTTCTCATCTAAAAATTCACGAACAGCCATAGAGTAATGAGGAGGAGCCCCATCTTGTTGAAAATGTATGAAATCTTCAATCAAATTCATGTTTCCGTCAATTGGATTTATTTGATTCTCTATTTCATGAGTGATGAGAGGCTCGACGGTATTTTGTAGCATGTTTAGGTAAGTATCTCCAGTTAAATTTCCTTCGATAAACAGAGGACCAATAATGCTATCACCTAAGATACCTGCCCAGACGTTAATTTTTTGGGGCCGTTGAGTATGCCCCTCGCGAAAAAGATGAGGATTTTTATCGTCCCAATACCGGCAGTTATGTTTGTTCACATTTCCATTTAAAAAGAATGTACATTCATCACTAAAACAAATGTTTTTTTACCAGTTCCGGATTATTTTGAATATTCTCGGTCATTATTTCACAAAATTGGATTCTTCGATCGGAGTCGTCTTCGGTTAGTTCCTGTACAATCTGCATCTTATAAGGGTAGAATTTGTGCACCTTAAGAGTTCGTCGTACAGTTTCTCGCGAAAGTCTGGTCATAGTCGCTGCTTTTCGAATAGATGATGTTGGGTTTGCACCAAAATGACCTAAAACTTCAATCTGAGTAGCTTCATCCATTATTCTTGGTCCGTCTCTTTTCTTATTTTCCACTGACCCAGTTTCTTCAAATTTAGTCACTAACATTGCAACATAAGTGTGACTGACACGTCGTTCTGGGTGTCGGGCATTAAAAACAGCTGCTGTTCTAAATGCAGATCGCGCTTCAGAACCATAGATGAAAATAATTTCAACTCTTTCGGCTAACGTGTACACCATTATGAAATCTTTAGTTAAATTCAAAATTTGTAATTTTCTTGCCAAGAAATACTAAAAACGAGACTAAAATAATAATAACCGATCAACAAATAAAGCAATAGAAAATTATTATTTACTAAAAATTGCTGTCATTGTTTTTCCAAAGCATCACTAGATCTAAGAAATTTTTTTTTATTTCAAACACTGACAAATTCATCAAATACTCAAATTACTCATTTTTATTACATAAATTGTGAATGGGCAGTTTAAATGCACCAGTGTTGGTATTTCTGAAAAGCATTTTTTAAGAGCTTTCCAATGATGTATCACAAGTGATACGTCACAATTCAAAATTTAGGCATGGGGGTGGCGGGGGGTACGAGGTTGAAGTTGGTTCCTTCTTTATACGACCATTTTGCTTCCCCCTCGATTCTACCGAAACGGTTTTGGCCATTTTGTGATACCTCTAATATAAAAAACGATATCGCCCATTGAAAGTTTTAAAAGTGTCACCCTGTATGTAAGATTACGTATGATAGTCCAGGCTAAAAACGTCTATCAAGTATTTATAATTTTAATTATACAGGGTTGCTCATAAAGGCGTGTCACACACACAAAATATGATAGGATCTTAACATAAATGCTATAACTAAAATTTCATCTGTAATTGTAACTCGAATTTTGTTGATTGTTTAATTTATTTATTTTTGGACATTATTTGTTACTCTACCAACCCAGCCCCCTATAAATTTACAAATAGTCATGCTCAAACCCGGATTCGAACCAGAGATCCTTGCTGCTTTCCACTGTGCTACGTGTTAGCACTAGTTAAGTGCCTTTAGATTGATTTATGTGCTCAAATTATCACAACCTAAAAATAGTTGGACGCATTAATGTGATAAGGTAAAATGGGATAACATTGACATATTTTCAAATTTCAAATACTGTTTTATTTTTCTATGTCAATGTTGCATTATAGATCAAAGGCAAGTGTCACTTTACACTATTTATGCCAAACATTGACACTTTCATATGGGTCAATGTTTCCCTAGGGTAGGGTAACATTGACAGTTTACACGTAAAACAAATAAAAATCATAATTTTGTAATCAATAAATATTTTCATTTTATTCCAGGTGTATCATAAAGAGGATAGACGTACCTTAAATTCTGCAAAAAAAGCAGGGCTTTAATTACTTACCAAATGATAAAAAAAATTAATTTCGAAGATATGTCAATGTTACCCCACTTTACCTTAAACCAGTCTTGAATTGATTGCAGATTCGCTTCGGTTATATCTAACTCCTCCGTGCCAATTTGCCCACATCCCGGATTTATAATTGACACAGATAGATGCAGTAGTAGCAGTAGTTTAAAGGGTTGGAAGACAAAGAGAGCAAATTCGCGCTCTGTTCAATGTATCCCAATCCAAAGCTCATCACAAAAACGATCTTAAGGCCTTTCAGGTCTTGCACAAGATTTCGGAAATCTATTGCTGTAATATGCGGAGATTTTCCCCAACGCAAATACCGACCCAAGCTATTACGATGCCCCCAAAACCAAATACAGTGTGAAAAATGGGTGCTGATCATAATAGAAATGTGATTAAATATCGATTTCAGACGCTTACACCATCCCCCGTATTAAGATACTGTAACAACAGCTTGCCATTTTCAGGCGGACCGAGACAAATCGCAAGAATCTCTTAAAACTCTCTTTTCACGTTTCCGCGTATAAATCGTCTCATTTTTAAACGGAACAAAAGAACCGTATAGTCACATCTTTGTATCGGCTCAAATTTATCAACTTTCCGAAATGGAGGTATACATCAATTTTATTTATAAACTTTCGCTAGTTGAAACGCGATGAAAGAAGACCGAAATGAATGTATTTGTATTCAATCTAACCGTTTGTGTTTGTTTTTCAGATATGAAAATGCTGAGGATAAAAATTGAATGGAGTTTCTTCGGTGCTCTTTTATTTTGCTTACTACCGGGTAAGTAATACACATTTCAAACTTAAAACGGGTAGCTGTTTATCATACGAAATACCATCATGTCATTTGTAGTGTATACGGACAACCATCTTCGTTGCTTTTGTCTTTTGCTTTTACCACCAGAAAAAAATTGTTGCGAATCGCATCTGCAAACTTACCATAATACAAAGCACCCAAATCACTAAATTAAGCCAGATTTCTAGATGTAAATGAGAGTGTATGCGTAAAAGATGTGCGGTCGCATAGTAATGCGGTGTGCTTCAATGTTGTTAAGTCAGCTTGTTTTTACGCAGCACTCTTGTGGCTTGGTGTGCGAACTTAAATTATGTGCAGAAGCCCTTTCGGTTTGATGAAAGCGGATTAAATTGTCCACGTTCTAACTTTAGTTAACAGAATTTCAACACGGCCATTCAGTTTGATCAGTATGTGTAGCTGTTGGGACTTTCACACTGTGCACTGTTTCAAATCGATTCACAACGAATGTGTTGCATACAAGCAAAACTTCCTCTTTTGTTGAAACTTCAGTTGGAGTTTGTACTGTTTTAGTGAATTAAATTTGGTGCCTGGACGTTGATGCTAGAAATAAAGCTGTCGTACACATAACATGCCGCCGTTTAACCTAGTAGTGTTACACTAAGGTAGTGTTTATCAGTTTATCATATGATTTTAATTTTTAACTCAAATGTACGATTGTCTGGTTCTTTACCATTACAAAAGAAATGGATTAGGTATTCAAAATGAATAATATGTTACCGGCAATCTGTATAATTCAGGTATTCTATACAACCCCTAAGCTAAGCAATGAATCGGAGGTATCCCTGGTGTGATGAAACTCAAAATGGGGTTGTGTAGAAGTCTATAAAATAACCAACAAAAACACAAAACCTTCCCCATACTAATTTAATAGACAAGAAGTAGGTAAAAGCCACTAGTTTCGACCAACGGTCATCTTTTGGCTATAATATCGGTTACAGATTTACAGAGTTAAAGTACATACCTTGAGGAGATTACAGATTAAAATTCTGGAAGTTACACATAAAAAATATTTAAAACAGCATGCTGAAAAAGCTAAGTTAAGTTATAAGATAACAGAGTTAATTTTTACTTACGGGAAAACGATGACAATTTAAACTATAACATTATAAATATTGTGAATAGTTCGTCTTTCAAAAAAGCTTGAGTGACATTTTGTAAAATGAATTATTTAATGAAAAGTACGGCGTGGGTGGACGACGCCATCGAAAAGACAAACTCATGCTCAGGTTAAGTATATCTGCAGGAAAAGTAACTAGCGGTAAAGGCAGCTAGTTTGTGGGATAGGGGGTGACCAGAATGGAGAGGGATTACTTGGTTAGTGGTGGTGGGTTTTCTATAAATGGCAAATAAATAAATGTCAGTGACAGGTCTAGAAAATTAAGAGGTCTGTTGGTCTCAATCTGTAACGTAAATTTAAATTTTTGTGGAGATTATCAAGAATCTGGAAACAAACATCTAAAGCTGACCTGTTACGTCTGAAGATTACAAGGATGTCATCGACATATCTCTTATAGAAAAGGAGATGGGTTTTTATAGGGTCAAATTGGAAAAGTTTGGTTTCGAGGTTATTAAAAAAAAAACTTCAGGTAATAAAGGTGATAGATTACTGCCCATTGGCAGTACAATAGATTGTTTAAAACCATCAGAGTTAAAGAAAGTCTCAGCCCCTAATATGTAGTCTTTTTTATTCATGCTTACTAGGGCGTTCCCCCTAATTATAATTATAAGATTATCTTATTATCTTATTGTTATAAGATATTTTATAATTAGAGGAAACATTTAAAAAAGAAACACTGTCCTAGTCATTAGCAGTACCTACCATTAGTCTGTAAAAAATCAGCTTCATTCATCTAACAGTTACCTATAGTTATATTCGTAGAAGGTTCGTGAAAAACCGACTAAGAATTGTTTTTTACAGAGTTATCAAATGTTCGCGATTTTTTTAAATATTTACTTAAGAGTTATTATCAACGCCTTCATTTGGTGTCCTGTGCCTAAATCCCGTAGTTTTTAAGTTATTCACTATTTTTCAGAAAAATAGTTACACATTAATTAATTAGGTACATGCTTATAAACAGGTGTAAGCCGTGATTTGGGTGTTCAGTACAGCGATTTTGGGTCCACTAAAGAAGGACAGCGTTTGCGCTCGAAATATCTGGTCTACCAAATCAAATTACTCAACCAATTCTTTCTTTGGCCTACACACCCTACAAACTCTTACCGATATCCTAACGAAGGCCGAAAAAATCAACACGTTAAATTAATAAATACTTTAGAAACATTAATTAAAGTATGTCTAAAAGTTTGCAAATTCATAGATATCGTCAATCAATTCACCAGCATCCCCTTTTCCGATTGTAAAGCCATTATGGATGACTATTTAAAGCAATCCTCCTTCCCGACCAAATTGCTAACCTTATTTCCAAATAACTCCAGCTGTGCCCTGAACAAAACTTTTTTGTGTTTAGCAACTACCATTACACCCAATACACCGGTTTACCCGTTAACTTGGCCCCCCCACTGAGAGATTTCATAGTCGTATTATTTTGAAATGAATGCGCTCGTTATGCGCTCATATGCGCCACCGATAATAACTCTTGCGCCATTATCGTTTTTTAGAAATCCGAAAAAACATTTGAGGGGGGCCAAGTGAACGTAGCCCCCCCCCCCAGTACGTATTTTGTCCCTTGTAACTAGGTCACCTGATACATTTGGTTATGCGCTCAATTGCGCCACTTGAATTAAAGCTAGCGCCATTACGGTTAAGCCATAAAAAATTTTTAAAAAGTGGAGGGTCTAACTTAGCGTTTTCAAAAGTTATTTCCGGAAGTGCGTCCATTTTGAAAATATTTTACATCGATTCGGCCTTCGGAGTAACTCCTAAATACAAATTTTTAAAAACCTACCTATTTTACTTTCTCAGAATCGTTTAACTAAAGCTCCCAAAAAAACACCCTGTATAGTGTTTCTGAAACACTATAATGGCGCCAAGATTTTTGTTTACGGCGCATTTTAGCGCATGATGAAAGGTACGATGTAGTAGAAAAAACATGTTAAAAAACGTAACTTTTGAAAACGTTAAGTTAGCCCCCCCCCTTTTTAAAAATTTTTTATGGCTTAACCGTAATGGCGCTAGCTTTAATTCAAGTGGCGCAATTGAGCTCATAACCAGATGTATCAAGTGGCACAAATACCGGTAGCAAAATGCGTTATGGGGGATTCCGTTCACTTGCCCCCCCCCCCCCCAAATGTTTTTTCGGATTTCTAAAAAACGATAATGGCGCAAGAGTTATTATCGGTGGCGCATATGAGCGCATAACGAGCGCATTCATTTTAAAATAATACGACTATCAAATCTCTCAGTGGGGGGGGGGGGCCAAGTTAACGGACCCCGGTTTATCTATGGGTAGTAATCTATCCCCTGTATCCCAACAGCTGCCTATTGCAGAAACCTCGGCAGAAACAGGGTAGTTTGCTATCAACCTAAGTAATTTTATAAAAACAATTGCCTAATGCAACCAATATTGCATTCTTTCTTTTCTTCTCTTTTCCTCACTCTACGTTTTTTCCTGCCAATTTACTTTTTTGGTTTTTGGTTTTCAAATTGTCCGCTCTTACGCTTTTCCTTCAGTTGCCTAACCTGATCCAATTTTCTCACTTATAGCGCCACTTTTCGCCAAATAATTTTCGACACGATCAATTTAATTAAGCAAAAGTTGTTTAATGACCTTCGGGTCAATTTCTTGTTTGTAATATTTGTTTATTATTTGATGTTATAATCTGATATTTTACTTTTCCCGTAACTATGCTTAAAAAGCTGATTGTATTCTTAACCTACAAATTTCCGCACGCACCTAGACTTGTCCTTTGTTAAAAAAAGTTCCACCAGTAATGTAATCATTAGACTGTTTGTTCTTATTTTACTTGAACACTTTAACTTAATAAATTTAAACGTAGGTATGAGGAAGGTTTAGAGTTTTTAATTTTTGGCAATTTTTGTACTGCTTTTGCGGCCTTTATTTTATAAAAAATAATATCTGTGCCTGAACGAATTCTGTCCTGATCCAAAAAATCCTCATCTTAACTAACCCTATGACGTAAAAATTACACAATTATTGTGATACTCTTAATTGAAATTCCCTATAAATGGTATCTACTTGAAGTGCTCTTGTTTGCTATAATTCTCTAGCTATATTTCTACAGTCCCAAAACAATTAAAATACAATTAACATATTGCTTAGAAATACGCTCGGAAACAAATTTTGAATTGTGTACCTTCCTATTACTTTAGATCACTTTTATAAACTGAAACTGTAATAGTAAAATTGATCAAAATTACTTTTAGGTAGGTACTCGCATTTTCCACAAGGAACTTCATACCTACCATATTTCCAGAATCCCCGTTTGGTTGCTTACCAAAAATTTCGAAATTTATTTTCGTTGGTGGAAGATTATGGAAAACTTTGTTTGCATTTTTTGTTTTAAAAAAATTTGTTTCCCTTTCGCTTTTCTCTTTGCCGTTATTTTTTTTACCAAACAAAGGTGTTTTGTTCAACTTGAAATGATTACAAATTTTATTTTGAAAAGATAGGTACCTAATCGTTTTCCCTCAATTTTAAGAATGTGTTTGTTACAATAATTAAATCCGTTCTTTTAAAACAAATGTTTAACCTATGTACGTGGTTCCCGATTTCATAAGATCAGCGTTAAACTTCTGGAAGAATGAGTCCATGCAGTAAATCATTTCCAGTCAATTTAAACTTCAGCATCTTTAAGTCGATACGTGATGATTCCTTGCAATAATGCAACGAAGGTTCTTCATTGTAAATTTGAGGTGACATGTTTCAAAAGTAACTGAGTTTGCAAACCTCATTACTTTTCTAACGTAAAAAATTAGGTAGATATTTAGATAACACTAAATGCCGAAATTACTATGTAACGAACGTTTTATTTGTTAAAATTAT